GGCGTCCTGAGGGGTCCCTCGGGCCCGGCGGCGTCCTGAGGGGTCCCTCGGGCCCGGCGGCGTCCTGAGGGGTCCCTCGGGCCCGGCGGCGTCCTGAGGGCAGGGCGAGGCGGCTTTCCGGGACGCACAGCTGGGGGTGGGGCGCTCCTCGGACGAGCCCATCCCCTGCCTCCGCGTCAGAGCACCTCGTCCCGGTTCCCTAGGCCCGCCCCCTCCCCTGAAGCCCCCCCCCTTTTTTTTTTGCTGGAAAGAATCTGGCCCCCTCCGCCTCCCCCAACTCAAACTCCGCCTCGAAGGAACCCCGGAGCTGGCTCGGTCCCCTCCCCCTGCCGGACGTCTTCCACCGCCGCGGGCGCTCGGGGCGTTTGGACTTCGGGCTCCTTCCCTCCCGTTTTCCCGCCGCCCCGCCCCGCGTCCCGCCCGCGCTCTGTCGCTTTAAGCCGGTGTCTAGGGCTGCGCCCTCCCGCGCCCCTGCCGGCGCTCCACGACCGCTGCTCGCCGCCCCTCCCGCTCCTCCTCCCGCTCCTCCTCCTCCCGCGCTCCGTCTCGTCCTCGCAGCCGCCGGCCCGCCGCCCGCTCCGCTGCTCGCAGCCTCCGGGACCCGCAGCCATGGCCGACATCAAGACGGGCATCTTCGCCAAGAACGTGCAGAAGCGGCTCAACCGCGCGCAGGAAAAGGTCAGAGCGGGCGGCGGGGCCGCTGGCGGGGGCCGGGCGGGCCGGGGGAGCGGCGGAGGCCGGGGCCGGGGTGCGGGGCCGCCCTGCGCTGCGCCGCGGCGACTGCGGCGAGGCGGCCGCGGGCGGGGAGGCGGGAGCGCCGGGTCGCGCGGTCCGCGCGAGTCTCCCGGGCCCGGCTCGCCCCCCGCGCGCCCTCCGGGGTCCGGCTCGCCCCCCGCGCGCCCTCCCGGCGGGCGACTGCGCGAGCGGCGGCAGGTGCGGCGGCCCCGCCGCGGTCCCCGGGGCCCAGCGCGTCTCCCCGCCGCGGCCGCCCGCTTCCCGCTGGCCCGCGGGTTCGGGCGGGAGATGGCGGCAGCGGCCCTCCCGCGGGGGGTCTCCCGGGGACCCGAGTGCGGCAGAAACGGCTGGTGCAGCGCAGAGGCTACCCCCCCCCCCCAATCCGTAGGGACCCATCGGGCTCATCTCGGAAAACCAAATGACTTTAACACAGCGCTGTCGAGTGAATCCTGGAGTTCAAAATAGACATCTAGACACACGCTCTTCTTCTTCTGTGTATGTTTTTGGGTGGTCTCTCTCCGTACGTTCCCCTCTTGGGCGCCAGTGTCCTCTGGAAGGTCAGAATAAATGTGACCTGAACCTAACAGTTCTTGCACATTTCTGCACAAAGGAGGGCATTTTATTGCATGAAAAAAAAAATCCACATTGCACGCTCAGGTTGGGTTCCCTAGTGTTTTACAAGCTCTTCAGCAAATCGGCCCCTCAGTAATTTATTGTTCTCCGCCAGAGATGGGCACAGATGCACCCCAGGTTTGCGCCAAGCGCAGCCCTGTGCAGTTGAGGTATTGTGACAGGCGCGGGGCTCCCGGCCCCTCTCACCGCTTTGCACCGTGTCTCCAGCCGAAGGGTCAAGCACCACATTGAAAATGAACGCCGCCTACCTGAGCCCCAGGTTTGTACCAGTGGAACTGTGTTCCCTTTCCTGTGGCCGTATTTTCCGTCCCGGGGATTCTGGGTGTGGAGTGCAAGTCAGATTTGCCGCCTTGCTCAGAATGACCGTGAATGTGTCTCTTCAGACCCCGGCCCAGGTCCGGGTTTCTGGTTTCCACGCACCTGGGGGAACTGAGCAGAGGGGGCACCGACCCCTTGGCCCGTCTGTCCCCAGGCCCAGAGGCTGCCTCCAGCCCCTCCCTCCACACATGCACACTCCCGCAGTAAGAGGATTGTATTTCTTTTAATATCCGCCCGAGCTCACCCTGAGCCCACGAGAACCTCCTCCTTTCCCCTCCTGCCCCTCCTTCGGCAGCCGCCTTAGCAGGGCTTCCTGGCCTCTTCCAGTCCTGCCTGCTCGCTTGTCCAGAAAGTAGCTAAGGATCCGCTGGGATCCCAGCCCGGGTTTGTCACCGCTGGGATCCCAGCCCGGGTTTGTCATCGTTTTTCCAGGCTCCACTTTACCCACTTGTAGATATCCCTCCCCGCTCTCCACTTCCAGCTAATTACTCGAATCTTTGGCCTGAAGCTTTTTACGGAGTCCGCTTTCCATCTGTGAAAGAATTTAGTGATACAGTCCGCCTTTTCACATATTAAACTATTTCTTAATCTAGGTCACCAGCTGTTAATATGCTAAAAATAAATGAAAAGATATTGTAATCTGTCTTACAGAGCATTGCAAGCCCTTATGAATTGTTGAAAACTCACTATGTCCTTATTAAGGTCAAGTGTGTATTACAATCAAAGCGGTTCTGGATGGTGGTTACTTTTCCATGGGAGGGAGTTTGAAGGGAGGCTTATATGGGGCTTCAACTACCCTGTTTTCTTCCCTGGGGAAAGTGCTGGTGAAAAGTGCCTGCTGCACCACATTTCAGGCGTTAAGACACCGAAAGGCTTGAGAGTATGGTTTCCGCCTGTGGGTAAGTTCCGCCTCTTTCTTGAGCCGGAAATGGGATGTGGGAATCCAGGTGAGGTAGCCCAGCCAAGACCAAACAGAAGCTACTGGAGGGTGGAAAACACAGGAAGTGGCTGCTGAAGGCATTAGACATCTCCCCCAGAGATTCCTTCCTTTTATGTCTTTGGACTATTCCTTTTCTATGATGCACAGAATACTCCATCGCAGTATCTGTATACATCACGTGTTCTTGAGACCTTGGCTTCTTGTTCTGACAACCACAATTTCTCCAAAGAGAATCTACTTGCTTGAGTTTCTCATCTTCTGTGCTACACCCAACAGTTGCATGCATTTTGGTTCCAAATGCATGATGGAAACTACACTTAGAGGCGTCTTAAGATTTTTTAAAAATGAATTTAAAATACATGAAAAGATTTTTTAAAGACATTTATTTATTTTTGAGAGACAGAGAGAAACAGAACACAAGCTGGGGAGGGGCAGAGAGAGAGAGAGGGAGACAGAATCGGAAGCAGGCTCCAGGCTCTGGGCCATCAGCCCAGAGCCCAGTGCAGGGCTTGAACCCACGGACTGCGAGATCAGATGCTTAACCGACTGAGCCCCCCAGGTGCCCCCCAAATACACTTTTTTGATTGAAGGTCTGTGAGGGTTCAGTGGAGAAAGAGTGAAATATATATAAGCGAGAAATAAAACGGCCAACAAATTAGGACAGTTATAATTCTACTACCCAGAAATTTCACTATCATTTAATGTGTAGTATAGTAGCTCTTTTCCCATATTTACACATACATATTTATAATAAAAGCAGGCTTTTTTTTAACCTGCTCATTTTTAACCCAAAGTTTTTTTAACCTGCTTATTTCATGTACATATTTTCCATCAACATTTTAAATGAGTGAACAGTATTGGAATGCACGATTTAAAACAATTTTTTTTAAAGTTTATTTATTTTTGAGAGATAGAGAGTGAGCAGAAGAGGGGCAGAGAGAGAGGGAGACACAGAATCTAAAACATGCTTCAGGCTCTGAGCTGTTAGCACAGAGCCCGATGTGGAGCTTGAACTCACAAGCTGTGAGATCATGACCTGAGCTGAAGTCGGAGGTGCCCCTGGAATTCATGGATTTTAACGGATCTCCTATTTTTTGGATGTTCAGTTTCTAATGTTTCTGTATATAAATACAAATCAGGTAAACTTGTAGGGAAAATGTTTGCATACAGTAGGGAGAATGTTTGTGTACACCCTGAAATATTTCCTTAGATAAATCCCTAGAAGAATAATGGTTGTGTCCATTAACATTCTCACTGGCAGTACAAGACACCTGCCAATGCTCGATAATAAATTTAAAATAATCTATAGCTACGTCATTGGAAAAAATTGAGTTCCTTTTTGTTTTGTTTGATTATTGAAAACCAAACATTACTTTATGTAGTCCAATTTTTCTTTTCATTTGTGAATTGTGTTTCTGTTTTTGCCCACTGTGTTTAGCATCTGCTCCCTGTTCTGTGTAAGGGCAAAAACTATCAATTCTAAAGGTAACAAATATGGTTTCTTCCTTTTCTGTTTACTTTTTAATTTTTTGATGATTTTCTTCTGCCATAGAGAATGTTTATGTTTATATTGTGTTTATATTTTATGGTATAAGTGCTTAAATCTCTCCATTGATTTTGTATGGCTTCTCTCTTGGGTGTTGAATTAATCGGGGTCCTGGCTCTTGTAAAAAGTGGAAAACTCAGTTCAGACTGGTTTAAGGGGGGGCGCCTGGGTGGCTCAGTTGGTTAAGCGTCCAACTTCAGTTTAGGTCACGATCTCACGGTTCGTGGGTTCGAGCCCTCCGTCGGGCTCTGTCCTGACAGCTAGCTCAGAGCCTGGAGCCTGCCTCAGATTCTGTGACTCCCTCTCTCTCTGACCCTCCTCTGCTCACGCTGTCTCTCTCTCTCTCTCAGAAATAAATAAAAAAAATTTTAAAAAAATTTAAAAAAATGAACAAAAAACCCCAAACTGGTTTAAGGAAAAAGGGGAATGTAATCACTAAAAATAACAATATGGCTCCTGCACATACAAACCTGGGTGAGATTTTAACGTATAAATATATATTTATATTAAACTATAAGGGTTTTTATACATATGCATATATATAAATGTATGCATATGTGTGTATTATATATTAACTCATTTGATTCTGTGAGGTCGGTGTTATTTCTGTCCCTATTTTATTAAAAAATTTTTTTTGTTTAACGTTTATTTTTGAGAGAGAGAGCATGCCAGGGGAAGGGCAGAGAGAGGGGGCACAGAGAATCCAAAGCAGGCTCCATGCTGACAGCAGCAGGCGTGATGCAGGATTCCAACTCAGGAACTGAAGGTCAAGACCTGAGCTGAAATCGGACCGTCAATCGACTGAGCCACCCAGTGCCCATGTGTCCTCATTTTTAAGATGAGGAAGGGGGTGCCTGGGTGGCTCAGTCAGTTGAGTGTCCACCGTAAGTCATAATCTCACAGTTTGTGGGTTTGGGCCTCTCATGGGGCCCTGTGCTGACAGCTCAGATCCTGGACCCTGCCTTGGATTCCCTCTCCCCCTCTCTGCCACTCCCCCTTTTGTGCATGCATGCTCTCTCTCTCTCTCTCAAATAAAAATGTTTCAAAAAAATGAAGAAGAGGTTAAGTGACCTGCCAGAGTCATACAGTTACTAAGTAGTAAATGTGAAGTGTGAACCCAAGCTTCCCATTATGTGATACTGCCTCTTTTTTTTTTTAAATTTTTTTTTTTAATGTTTTATTTATTTCTAGGAGAGAGAGAGAGAGACAGCATGAGCAGGGGAGGGTCAGAGAGAGAGGGAGTCACAGATTGAAACAGGTTCCAGGCTCTGAGCTGGCAGTCAGCACAGAGCCCGACGCGGGGCTCGAACCCACGAACCGCGAGATCATGACCTAAGCGAAAGTCGGACGCTTAACCGACTAAGCCACCCAGGCGCCCCATGTGATACTGCCTCTTATAATTAATGAAAACGGCAGGGGTAGACAAACTTCAGACCTCCTGGAACCTGGGGTTCAGCCACAGACATCGGAGCTCACGTGCCTTCTCCCCATCTCTCCTCCTGGCTG